ATTTAAAGAAAGAAATAAAATAAAATAAAATAAAATAAAATAAAAGATGGAGAACCAATGAATCGTCACCATGGGCATGATGGGAGCAACACCCCTGCACTGTGAGAGCCTCTTCTCAGTCAAAAGATGGAATCTATTATTCCTTTGTCTCCCTGCAGCTTCTGGAGGGAACGGAGCTCAGCTAAAAGAGGAGGGAGGGAGGAAGGCGGGAGAGTGTGTGACTGAAAGAGGGAAGGGGGTGCGAGGTCGACAACCGCACGGCAGAGACAATGCGAGTGAAGGTGACGCGCAAAAAAAAAGAGTTAAAGTGAGACAGCCAGGATGGGAAGAGAAAAGGAAAGCGAGAGCGATGGCGGGGAGGGGGGGACCGCCACGAGGGAAGAGACGTGTGAGTGTGTCTCTGAGAGAAAAGAGCCATTAAACTGGATTTGTGTGTCCATGTGATGATGTCTGTAGATATCAGTGATYGTTAAAGGCTGAGGCTGAACACAGACCTCCCAGACAGACTGAGAATGAAGGAGGCACACTGAGGAACCGAACCAGGAGCAGAATAACACGGAGCTGGCAGGGTGGAGTTTACAGGAACTAATTAACAATAAATTTTAAACACTCACTATCAATAGACTAAAACACTAAACCCATAAAMAATACAACCTCTCCTATTAACAGTAAAACACAGTGCCTGAACATTTGATAACGTTGACTTTTAATTGAACCAGGGTGGCCTCATATTTCTTTACAGGAGGAAAACTTTCAACAACGCTTTTCTGATTTAGATTTTGTAAGACTAAAATGAGCGAGTTTTGTCAGTTATGCCTTTTGTCAAGAAAAATTATATTCTTTGGATGTTTAGAAGTTTTACTAGACACGTGGACAAAGCAATCAACACATTTGATCTGTGGTAAAAGCTACAGTTGGGCGCCTACACCTCGTGTCAAACGCAAGGTCCGCAGGCCAAATGTGAGCCGCCATGACATTTTAAGTGGCCCACAAGAGCTTCAAAGATGTATTGATTTCTTAAAATAAACTGCTTCAAAGCCAGCATTGATGWTAAACTACATCTCACATAATGCATGTTATTTATTTTACTAGTGAAATGATGGCGTCGCACCACCAGGTGGAGGTGCACAGSGTTCAAGAGGAGCCGGCGGTAAAAGCTCCCTTTCACTGCATTTTCGCCACTTTTGCTGCGTTCCCAGTTGGACTGGTCGTAAATTGCTCAAACGGACTTAAACCAGAACTTCCCTTGCAGAGGCAGAAAGTGAGAATGTTTAGGATTCAAAATGGCAGCTACTATGTTTGGGCGATATTGGCAAAAAATAAAAAAAATCAATAAACACGATTAATTGTACTRTTTAGCCGATAACGATTAATATGACGATTAATCCCCTGGAGTCCCTGGACASCCTAATATCCTAGTCACATGACAAATCACTCTAGAGGGAAACATTTGCTCTCCATAAAAATCTGTTCCAAACTGTGCCAAAAGTACAGATTTCAGGCTATTCACCAATATTTTATTTTTGTTGATGATAGACTAAGTGAAACCGGAGTTATGATAAATAAATGACAGAACCTTTTTTTAATGTTCGTTATATTTGCAGCGGAGAGGAKCACTGAGCAGACTGACCGTGGAAATCTCCAGTCACTCTGCCTGGCAGCATTAATCGTTTGTGTAACCGTCAAGTTCCAAAAAAAATAATCGATTAGTTTTTCTGATGATTAATTGCAAACGATAAGATTTTGCCCAACCCTAGCAGCTAGCTACTCACCACAACTCAACCGTGATTAAAACTCTATTTCTTTTACTTTTAATAGTATTTCTGTAATATTTATTTCATATTTAGTCAGTTGTACATGTAATACTTTTTAATGTTTATAAAAGGACGTGTTAAAACACTGTTTCTTTGCATGGAAYACCACATAGAGCTCAGTTAGCAGTGCTCAGTTGTAGCAATGAGAYGAGAAACGTGACATTTAATGTTCTTAGTCAAAGTTAAACACAAAACCTTTAAGTTAATTACAACTTGCCCTTTGAGGGTCACCATAATGCTCAAGTGGCCTTTTGTGAAAATGAGTTTGAAACCACTGCTCTACACTGACCTAAAGAAACCAGAAGAAATTCCATATACTGTTGTAAGAAAAATTCATATTCAATAAACTGAAGTCGATATTAAAACCACCATTGTTAAATAAAATGATTTGTAGAAGGAATCAAACCATACAACACCAGAATTGTGGATCTGAGTGAGGTTTATTGTCACTTGAGCTGACAGGAAACCACTCTGGCGAAAAACCAGGAAGTTCATCAATTTATACATGTTCTTCAATGCCTGTGTTCGCCCCCTACTGACCTACAGCTGAATCACAGGCATTCAGACAAAATTCTCATCAAATATTCTCATAACGTTTAATTATGTGTTGTCACAGATATTTCGGACATGTAACTAATCTATTATCAATCAAAACATAATAGATTAAACACTGTCAACATTATAAAAASGAAAACCTAAAAATATAGTGTTGTGCTTTTAACATCAGTACTAASCTCTAATAACTTTAAATTTCTTCAMGGTATTATGTCGTTGAAGTGACTGTTGTCACGCTCTCCACGTACAAACCYATGTTCTGCTCAAACTCATGATCCTCTGACTGGAAGACAACCTGAGCTAAAGGCAGCCGCAACACTCCGACACAGAAATTAATCAGAGTTAAGTATATTCGATCAAAGTTTCTCATTTAACTGTTGATGGGGGTTAAATGTGAAATAGATGAAAATGTGTGTACAGAGTGTGTTTTGTGTGTGTTTGTGTGACACACATCTATGAAGTCTGGTCCAGCTAAGGAAACACATCACTGCTCAGGCTCAGTCTGTCAACAATGTTTCTGTGTGTGTGTGTGTGCGTGCGTGCGTGCGTGCGTGTGTGAGTGTTTGTGATGCTGCGAGGCCTTATAAGGTGATATAGCTGCTTCAAAGTTGAAACAGTTTGAAAAGAAAGCAAGAACAAGACAAGAAATAGCAACAAAGTAAATAAAACTGTGAAAAAAAGAGATTGAGTGAGAGTAAAAAGAACAACGGAGGAATATGCACCTTAAAAAAATAGAAAACAGTGTGAGCTAAAGAAATGAAAAGAAGCTCCTGGATTGTTGCAAACTCACGTGGTTCACAAATAAAGGCTCTGTCAAAGACGTGGCTGATTTGTTCTTAAGAGAGCAAAGCCTGATATTCAAATGATGTCTGCGTGTGTCAGGTGACCGCTTGGTGAGCAGACATCACTTCCTCATTTCAACCGAAAATAAACAAGTCGAAGAAATGAGTCGGCATACACCAACTCAGCATCTGCAAGGTCATCACAATCACCAGACCAGGATCAAGATGTCCCGTGTTTTTTAAAAAAATGCTTCAAATGTTTGAACTTTGTATTTTTTTGTTATCTTTATGACAGAAGCATTGCATGAAAATAAACATAATTTTTTTTTTCTATTTTTGCTCTCCTCTGTCAGCACCTCATTGATCTCTTCCTCTCCAGGACAGGCCGTTCCTCACACTCACACTCCCACAGAAACGGCCTTTACCACCCTCTCTGGTGGCACCTGGTTGATCATTTCACTTCACTTATCAACTCCCTCCATCCTTCAACCATTTTACTGAGTTTTTAGGTGAAGATAAAATTTTTACTCTTAAAAGTCATAAAAAAATGCAGGAAAAGACAGGAAGGCAGCAGCAGAAYGTGTAGCAGGAAATTGTATTTAGGGAAACGGCCACTTCCTGTTTTCCTGCTCCGACAACTTGATCTTTGAGCTCCAGTCAAAATTCACTCTGAAAAACTCCCTGCTGACATAAATGCACTGAAAAGCAAAGTGCAGCGTGTAGGGGGGCCAAACAGTTATTTTTAAAGAGTTTTATTTAGTTACGGTTACATTTGTGGTTCGTTAAAATGAGGTCGGGTGGGGTCGGCCAGTTTAAACACGGTACCTTCATGTCAAAGTTGCAGTCAAACCGTTTGATGAGGACGAAGAAGGCGCCCGTCCAGTTGTCTTTGGGTGGGGGGTCGATGGGCTCACACGCATTTTCGGGCCGAGCTCCAATCAGGAAGCCCTGTGGGAATAAGATCAGAGGMCGTAAGAAAAACGCACAGAGGTTTTGAGTGATTACTCGTTCTTAACGAGCGAAAGCGGACACTTTTCTGGAACAATAAAAGAACACTTAGACGAACTAATTATTATTAAACTAATAATTCAATGTGGGGGAAAATAGCTGACTGTTTTTTTTTCCCTGAAAACTTTCTGACCCTTGCATTTCCTTTCTTCATTCCTCTCTGCCGCTTCCTGTCCTGGTCCCATTTCCAGTTTCAGCTTTGAAGCTTTGAAGGAACTGATGAAGAGATAGGGAGAAGATGAGAGATGGACTGAAAACGGGATCAAATAGAAGAGCAGAAGCAGCAAAAACATACAAATATGGAGGCTGAAGGATGTGGGAGACAGTACAAAAAAAAAAACTAAAACAAAAATGAAGAAGTACTGAAAAGACAGATAAATGAAAGTAAGCAGGATGTAAAGAGGGAGTGACCTGGTCTGATGAGCGTTTGTGAACGTATAACTGCCACCAGTGTGTCTGAATAGTGTGAAGTGAAGACAGGAAGTGTGGAAGTGTTGTGGGACTCTGTCACTTTTATCGCTGGTTTTACCCCTGCCTCACACAAAGCTATAGCTTCAAACTTTGGCACAAYTCCACTGAGGAGTCAGCACTTTCTGTCCCCGCACATAAGGCTGGAGTCAGCTCGCTGCRAACTGATTTCCTGCAGGGACACATCTGGCTGATCGCCACACTGACGCCACGACAAACAGCAGCTGAGCTTCCCTTGAAAAATGACCACTGGGACAAGTATTAGCAACATAAATCTGTCAAACATGGGAAAGATTTTAAAAAAAAAAACGCTGACAAAACATACTCTCCAGATGGACTGTAGTTCGACTCGAGTAAGACTACAAACGTGGACGCTCAGACGTCTGAATTAGGGAAATCCACGGAATCTCACATCATTGGATGGAAGGAATCTGAGGAAACACCACCAATCAGCTCTGGGTGTCTCCAATGCAGTCRCCGCTTGCTGCTAAATGACATCACTGTGCCACTGCCTCACATTCCTCCGCYTGACAACAAAACCAGCGGCAAGAGCGCCATCTGTCGGGAGGGAAAACGCTAAAAATAGAGTGAGGGGGGAAAAAAATACAGTGTCTGCCATCACTGCAAAACGGAGAGGAGACCAGGCCGAGCAACAGGAAATAACTGAGGGAGGAGGTGGGGGGGCATCCTGGAAACACTGACTGAAAACTGTGAGGACATGGCACCGATCACTCATCTAACTCGACGAGATAAATGAAGAAATGAGGAGGAACCAGTAAGTGTAAGCTGGGATGTTTCACTCATGCCTCTACAGTTTTAACAGCGGTGAGTGTCGGAGGGAAGAGGAAAGACTTTGTTGTGACACGAGGGAAACTTTTAGTTGCACAAAAGTACCAGGCTCTTGGAACGTTYCTGATCTACTGGCAAAGCAAACGCAACAAATCACATGTTGTCACAGTAARATCACTCCATCAGTTGACAAATAGCAAAGCATTTGTTAAGGATGATACTATTTCATGYGCTTGATTTTCCCTTTTGTCGTTAACAAAGCTGGCCACATGTTAGCAGCAGCAACCACTGACAGATTAAGTGTCCCCCAGCTGTTTGGTAAATTACTCAACATCTGTAATAACTGTGCAGTGCTTAATAAATTGGTAAAGTTGAGCCAGTTAACTAAACTGCATTTAGAATTAGCTTTTTAATTTCACTGTTATTTATTCAGGCAAATCCCATGARGGGGGGGGGGGGTGTRCCGGAGTACTTGGAGAAAACCCACACAAGCACGAGGAGAACATGCAAACGCCGCACAGAACGACCCCAGGTCCAAACCGGGGATCAAACCCAGGACCTTCTTGCTGTGAGACGTTGGTGCTAACCACTGATCCAACGTGCTGCCAAAAAAAAAGTTGGATCAAAAACCAATTTCAGGTTTTGTTGTTGTTGTTTTTTTTTATTTACCTCTAATATAACATCTGAACATATAATAAAAAAGAAAAAAAAAACCATAAATCTGTTCAAGTGCTGTCCCTTCCTACAACTCAATTATACATGCTTCCATCCAAAGTAAGAATATCAACATTTATAGTTTTTAAAAAATATATAGTTTGTATAAACACACACATACATAATACTGAAAATTTTACTTAAGAAATGGGGAATTTAAAAAACAGAGGTTGAACTGAAAAGATAAGAAGTTGTGGATTTCAGTGGTATATTTGATCAGCAGTTGGCTGTGTGCTAGTCTGAGGCCATCTTCAAGGATTTATKAGCATAAGGRGTAYGTTGGTAAGTTGGTCTGWAAAAGAGAAGCGGGTAAAGGTGACRGACGGAAGTTTAAAGCTCTTTGTCTCAACATTCARACACAACTATTTTGATACAGTAACACTTGTGTGCAGGTTGATGACAAAACGCCACGACGAGAATTCTTAGAAAAGGYGAACAATTTGAGCTACACAATCTTGGGCATGAATTATTTTGTAGCCTTTTACTAAACCATAAAATGTTAAACAAAAAAATGACTTCCTGTTGTGGTTATGCATGTTGTTGGGTTTTGCTGGTGAGAAGTGGCATAGAGTTTAAATGCTTTTAGGAAGTCTCAGTCAGGGTTGAGCGAGATATTAACTTCCTTTGTTTTTTATCCCCTCTCAACTCAGAGCAAATCTGCAAACAAGCCCGATAGTGCGATTTGCTCTGACAGGATTAAATGTAATCCCCTGCACAATAATTTGCAATAAATACCCCCCACTTCCGTCTTGGATTCTGGAACAACACAAAATCCCCTYGGCTCTCAGCACCGAAGCACTGTTTTAGCACCCTGCTACAGATGTCGGCTGTCTCTTGGGTGAAAAGAGAAAATTAAGCGATTTTATTTTGCTTCTTGAARTGTTGTAATTTACTGAATCAATAGATCAGAACACCACTGCTGTAGATCTGTTTGCAGTTGTAGTTTTTTATGGGTTTTACATCTAGTCTTTTCTCTTATAAATCTAAAAGGGAACTGGATGCTACAAACCATTGCCAGAAACAGAGATTAGCCTTTTGTTATTATCTGTTATAGCTTTATGTTTGTAACAACATGATAAAAATAAGGAAACTTGTGGACTTTTTTGTCAAATTTCTCGTAGACATGTCAATACAATGTCTGAGTCATATTCTGCATAGAAAGTGTGGGCAGGAAAAGCAAAAAAAAAAAAAAGCTGCAAGTCTCCCAGCTGAGCTAGAAAAGCTTAAGCCAAGTCTCATTTCACCCCTTTTCACCCTACCCCTACAGTCTGTCTTTACACCGTAAGGATGGGTCGAAGGGTAGGTGTAAGTCTAACRCTAGGAATTTCAATTAGGCCTTAAGTCTCTGTCATATACAGATTTGAGTTTCTTACAGCACTAGGTGGRTCACAGGACACTCGTCTCAAAAAGAAAAGGGGGAATGACTTGTATACCTCAGCTAGTAATGGACGAGGGGACCTATTTAGGCTATTCCTGTGTCCCGGGTACATCACTGCCCCGTGCTGAAGGCTGTCCCAATCCTTGGGCRCTTTCTCATGTGGCCAACGAATGTGGCCCACAAAACTCCCAAAATGAAGTCTGCATCTGAGTATCCTTCCTGGCCGATGATATCCTAGGATTCATTGGCCGTGGTCTAGGTAGGCTGCAGTCCCTGAATTGAGACACAGCCGTCCAAAGCGTGGCCGTCAATTTGAAAGCCGCTACACTGGATCAAGGGCATGTTTTTTTCCCCCCCAAAGATAGGCTCTCTCACCCATTACTTGCTGGGGTATTCAGATATGACTTTTCTTTCTGAAATAAAAGCAAGGTACGTTATACTCTGCTTTCTATTTATCGCCAATAGAACAGGCACATGCAGTTTGTCTGCCCTGGACATTTTCACTTCTCAATTAATTGCATCAAGTTCTGCTTGGATTTTCCGTTTTGAATGACTAGTTACCCACGTATGTGAAACAGTGAGTGCAAACGTGTTTTTCTCTGCTGAAACTGTACTTGAGACGGTTGGTAGTTTAGGTCAAATTACAGGAAAGACTTGGAGCAATGAATTCTAAAGTTGGGGTCAGGAGAACCCTTTTGTGGATCACGAAACATCGAGGGTCCCCAGATGATTTCAGATGATCCATTTAAATGCAAATGAATTCTTAATGGAATATTTTCACCATAATTTAAAAATATGTTATTTCAAAGATGTTTTTTTTTTGTTGGACGGAAGCTAGGAAGTTTGAAAACCACTGAGTTAGAGTATTACTACTGATCTTTGATGTTGTTATTTTCTCCAGAGGAAATTGAATGTAAAACTAACTAAGCACATTAAACTCACCACGCCTGGCTCTTCTTTCACACCCACAAACTGTCAACCACAGAACTAAAACTGATGTCAGATTGTGAATTTTACAAAGGTCATGTCAAAGACAGACTGACTTCCCTGAAAGGAAATTTCAGGTTAGAAAACTTGTTCTTGCACTGAAATGTTCAGCAGGTGTTTTAAAGCTCAAGCCATGTTGGATACTAAACAGTTAAAACAAGTATGAGTTACTCTGCATTTACCAGAATAAGAGAACAAGACTGACTAATGCAGGGGCATGAAATGCATCCATGATCAAATAATGAAAGTGACTTTAGGCATGAGCTGTTTTTCCTCTTTTCTAAAGCCAAAACAGATGTCAGTATCTGCACATCTGAACAGGAAAAAGAAAAATTAAATGGTTCCCCTTTACAAGAAGTGAGACCAGTGAGTTTGTTCCAGTTACAGGGGAATCACTCCTCTGCCTCGTTGGCCAGGTTTACTCAGGAGTTCTGGAAAAGAGTGTGTGCTGCTTTTATTCAAGACCAGCTAAAGGAGATCCTTTCTACCATTTTTGACAATCAATTGTAAACTGTGTGATTTAAAAATAGCACTAAACACAAAGTCTATAGTACACATTAATCTTTGATATGCAGCCTTGCTGTACTTTCACCATATTGAGTCCTTGGCTTCACATGACGCTCACAAGATAAGTCGAGAGACGAAAGTAAATTATTTCATTTTATGACTAACAAAACTGTCTTATTTTACAAGGGACAGCTGTGTATTTCCAATGACCTTTTCTGGTCAGAATCAGCTTTAACGAAAAACACAGAATTAAAATAAGAGTCTCTTGTGTCAGACAAAGTCAATTCAGGCTATTATTTCAGAAAAATAGGACAGAAACAAAGACAGTGTTTGAGTGGCATAACATAATCCTTACTAACACAGACCAGAGTTATTAATATAATTTGTGGTATTGACTCTTAGGCAGCGTTTGGTATAAAAATAGTCAAATTAACATGTGACAAAGATCATGTCTGAATGAGACACACTTGTGTTCTGTTTTTCCTCCTGGTCTTATCTACTGCGTTGAAATAAACTCAGTTACTTGCTACTGTCAGAGAAAATCAATATATCTTATAGGATAAAATATGTTTTGAAAGCACAGCACAAAGTCTTATTTTGATTAGAGGATAGTTAATTTTATTAAAGACTGTTATGTTGTTATACAAAACGATACAAAACTAATATGAATTTCCAATATGGAAGTATAGAAATAAGAGAAAAAAAAAACCCGTTGCAGATGATGCATACTGTGAGTGTAGAGGAATACAGCTGCATGCACAAAAACTGAGATGAGTGAGAAAAACAAACTTCTTGTAATAAGTAGAAACAGAAAAAGCTTTGTATTTGTGCATGAAGCCTCGTTCCCTGTGGACTATCTGCAGGAGATGAACAGGCTTGTGCCATCTTGTGATCCCATTCGTCTCTGCGGTTTATAAAGCCATAAACTCACAGAATAATGTTTTAATGCCAACACAAACAAACCATTTGGCAAACTCATTTTATAAACCTATCAACTAAAAAGGATAAGGTCATGTCTGGTCAAATTTTGTGTAACTGAGTTCATTTTCATGTCTAGTACAGGGATGGGCAACTGGCGGGCCCGGGGGCCACGTGACTTACGTCCGGTTTCCAATGAAAAAAGTAATACATTAAAAATAAATTAATATAAATAGAACTTTATTAGTATTATTATTATTAAATGACAGTTTTATTACATTTGGGTAAGTTAGTACAGTGCTACATAGCTCTGTGGTAGCATCAACAAAAAATTGTGGCCCCGACCCCTTCCATCATTTAAGTTGCCCATCCCTGGTTTGAGTACAAGGCATGAAGCTAGCCAGTAGCCAACCTTCAAGAATGTAATTTTATGCACAAACTAAAAGAAAATCTTTTATAATTTGGTCATACTCCACCTTACGTGACCTTTAATAATATTTGTCCTCTACTTTTTTTATATATATGAAAAAAACATGGCTTTTTGCCAAATTATCTCAAATAGACAAACATTTCCAGCAAACAGGAGACAGGAACTTGATGTCCTGAGCAACATGTCTACAGCAGCAGGAAGAGATTAATATTTACAAAAACACAACATAGACAATAGATGTAAATTAAATGCAGAGTGAAAGACAGAGAGACTAAGCCTATTGTTGCATAATGTTAAATTCTTGCACACATGCACAAAGTCCAGTGGCAAATCCCTGCTGTTTGTCTAAATTAAAACCATGAATCATGTTAAACTGTCTGACCTCACTGGCTGATTCTGACTTTGGTTGAACATGAATCTTCATTTAACTGCTTGGACATCTGACCATATATAGTTTTCTGCTTTACAGATAGTAGCCTTAACAACATACTTATTCTGCACAAAAAGCCACACCAAATGTGTTTGCAAATTCAGGACCTTCAATTTTCACGACGGATGATGCTAGCGATAATTTTAACCTTTATTTATTTTAAACCTATGATGTCACACCTCACGTAACCTTACAGAAATGATCATTAGCTGCCCTCGTAAAGACGCAATAGTGTTTGAAAAAAATAAAATAAAAAAGAAACATTACAAACTGCAATAGTCCAAACAGGCTACTCATAAACACGAACACATTCAGCTATCGCCCCTCTCTTAGAGCAGAAAGCTTTTGTGCAACAATAAGCTCTTGATTGTGGCAAACAACGGCCGGCTCAGATAGCAGACATGAATCATCTCCTCTGTTTGTGAGCTTTGTGGATCAACTTCTGAGGCAACCAGAAACCTCACAACAACAATCACAACAACAAAAAACAAGACACGGTATTGAAACAGTCAACTCTAAACAACCGTATTTGAGAGTTGTTTCAGTGGACTCCATTAAACATTCATTAAACTTCATTTGAAGTGTCCAGATTTATTAAACTAAGAGAATAAGTCTGACTTCATCGATAATATGTTTTTGCTTTACTTTGTAAATCATGACGCATCCTTAGACATCTATCTCATCAACGGGGTTTGATAAATCCTATTGCCCCACTGCCCGGGGGCAGGTAAAACTCATATTTGGGCAGATGGATGTGTCCCAATGCCTGCCCGATCGGGCAGGTAAACAATTGTTTTATTTTTTATAAGGCCATTTATTCTAAATATTCTGAAAAGAAATTAAGAAATATAGCATTTTAAAACACGTAAAGAGAGAATAAATCCTCAAAATTTCCCCCTTGCTCTGCAGAGAAGTTACGTCGTGCAGCGTGTCACGGGATCATTTCCTCCATTCGTCCCACTGCACGTCGCGCACAGCGAAGCTTTAACAACCATAGTTTTTTTTTTTTACACCCGTGTTTTCAGAGAAAAAAATGTTTTTTATGTATTGTTACCCACAGAGATGATAAAAAGATGTGGACGTTCGTTCAGTCATAAATCCATCTTGCTAATGTCGGCTTCTGCTCTGATGATGAAGATGAGAGCGCAGCAGCAGCAGCGGGCAGAAGCTCATTGTACGGCAGGCCGATTTAACATTTATTTGGCTTCACCACACTTATATTCTAGTTTTCTGAAATTGTTTTATGACTAAATTAGACACATGAGTTATTTAGGATAAAATAATAAAATGTTTTCTTTTATTATTTTTGTTTTATTTACTTATTTTTTAAATTTGGAGAACTTTCCAGCTTGAGTTTGTTTGTGTGTTGAAGTTGATTTTTGAAACTAAGGGGCAAATATGATAAAAAGTTTTTTTTATTTCACTCTGCACCTTTTTAATTCAGGGTATGATTTACTTTGTTTTTTAATGCTATACATAGATAGTTTTGTTTTTATGAATGAAAGAAACAAACAAATAGACATCTCTTAATATTTTGACAAGGCAAAATATCTATTTAAGATATCTCTAATTATATTCTGACTTGTGTAAATAACGTCAGATTTATCATTAAGTTATAGGGAGACTCCAGGTCAAGATATCTTAAATGTATCTTTAGATATGGGATAGGCTATATACGATTATTTTAATGCAAATTGTAGACTTTTTCATGTTCTGTAAATTGCATTTAAAACAAAGCTGCTGCTGTTGATCGTTTTCATAAACCCCACCCCCAAGGCCAGTACTCTAGGGCAGTGGTTCCCAAAGTTGGGGTCGGGACCCAAAGTGGGGTCCTGAAACATCAAGTTGGGGTCCTGAAAAGATTTTAATTATATTTTTGCCTTAGTTGCCTAAAATGTATAAATATAGAATAATAAATATTGTTACTATGCCCATGTTTAGTTGACCTGATACAAATGTTTACCATCAAATATAGTTGTGGGCACAAGTCTCTGCTGCTGTTATTTTGTGGGTCAAAAGCTGAGAAGTTTGGGAACCACTGCACTTCAGAAATCAATTTAAAGGGTAATAAAATAATTTGTGATGTAATATTTTCCCTATAATTATTTCAAAAACATAAAATAAGTATAAATAAGTATATTTGTGTAGCCTTTGTTTTTAGGGTTATTAACAAAGTTTGTGTACTACTACTCAGACCAGTAATATTTGGGGTCACAAGTTTTTGCCATGAATATTTTGTGGGTCAGAAAATAAAAAGTTTGGGAACCACTGCTCTATGGAAAACACCGGAAAGGTCTAAAAACGTTTTTGAATTTGTTCTTGATAATACAATTGACTGTTAGTAACTCAGTCTAAAATGTTTGCATCTGTTTAATCCGATGTCACATGTTATATACCTCTGTACTACAAAAATATTAACATGGTTATACAGAGGTATATAACATGTCACATGTTATATACCTCTGTATAACCATGTTAATATTTTTGTAGTACAAATACGGTACATGTTTTTCTTATTTTATCAAAATTTGAACATTTTTGTTTCGGGCAGGTAACATTTGTTGTCACCTGCCCAACTGGGCAGGTAAAAAAAATAAAAAAATCTTGTCGAACCCTGCTCATAAACATAATGTAATTCCTGCCTGCTGTTAAACATCATCTTAATAGAAGTGTAAAGAAAGAATCTAACAGTAAACAACTAGCAGAGCTTTGAAACGCTTATCCTTTTTATACTCACCTTTAATCCATCACTCGGGAGCCGGTAGCCAAACCGTGCAGGCATATCATCAAAGTTTTCAGTTTTGTTGTCAAAAGAGTACTGAAACACAGGACAATAAAATCAAATTTTGGTGCAATCATTTCATAAACAAACATGGAGGTCTGTCTCTATAAGTGAAGGTATACCTACCTCTAAAACTGCAGGAGATTTGCACAGATTATTATTTTTTTGGCTACTTACAGCAGAGATGTCGGCCTCCACAGGAAGCAGGTTGAGGAAGGCGAAGAGCTGGACAGTGAAGATGGTGTAGATCTGCGTGGCCGACAGCATCAACATTCCCAGAGACAGCAGCATCTTGGCATCACGTTTCAACCCTCAGCTTCGATGCCACACAAACATTCACAGTAACAACGATCGTAGCTGGGCTCCTGTACGGACGGGTGGTCTCGTCACACCTGAAAAATGTGTGTTTGGATATATAAGGCCTTCATACAGTCAGTTTTAAAAGGTTAACATTACAAACAGCATATAAGAAGTCGATGCAGTCATTTACACCTGTCAACATGATGTTTTATTACATGATATTTTGTTATAGCCAGAAATGTGACTAAACTTTTGTTTGGATGTGGGGTTATGAACAGCTAAACAAACTTGAAAGCCGTTTTGTTCAGTAATGTCGGTAGCTGTCATGTTTGGGTGAAATATTAAGTTTGGTTATATATATA